GATAGATGTAAATAACTTACCCAAACAACTTATGAGCGTGATGGCCCTATAATTGTCAGGATCTTCTGGATTCCCTTTATTTTTGTACATCGATTTAATTATATACCATTTGTCCAGTTTTCTGGTATAATACCAATATCTAATATAACATTAAACAAGGTACAATAAATAGTCATCATCTCTGGTGGAGTATATTTTAAATATTCATTTAATATTTTATCCATTCCAGGAGCCTTACCATTTTTAAGTTGTTTTAATGCTTTTTTAATTTCTTCTTCTGTTATTCTACCATTTAATNTATATTTTAAATATTTATTTAATATTTTATCCATTCCAGGAGCCTTACCATTTTTAAGTTGTTTTAATGCTTTTTTAATTTCTTCTTCTGTTATTCTACCATTTAATACATCATCATCATCATCATCATCATCATCTGCACAAATATCCTCATCATCATCATCATCATCATCTACACAAATATCCTCCTCCTCATCATCATCATCATCCTTTGCATTCAATGACATAAAATAACGATACAATGTCTCTATTGGTATATCTGTGGTTTTCTTTTTATTTGAAGAATATTTATTTATGGTATTCCAAAATGATGATTTTGGATTAGATTAAGATAACGAGCGAAGCTCTTTAATACATCTTTCTTGATATTTTTATAACTTATTCGAAGTTGTTTCCTGTATTCACTACTTTTTTGTTCATATTTGTTTCAGTAGTGCATGACTTGTCTGTTTTATATTTATTCTCGATCTTGTTGAAGGCAATTCTTTTTAACTTACAATATTTATCGAACCACGGTTTATTCATATCTACTTTTCCTTTACGTCTTATTTGTTGTGTTCCACACACTTTAGATACCGTTTTGATAAGAAATTGACCAAGGTCATTAACCACCGCGTTCATTTGTTCACAGTTTACATTATCACGATCATTCATTTGGTCTATAGCGGTGCTAATATCGCGGAGTTCAAGTTCAAGTGCCTGTGTGAATTCATCTTTTTTGGATGTGTCCCATTTTACACGTTTATTATCAAAGTTATCCTCTTTCTTATCTAATGGGGGTTGGGTATCGCATGTAAAGTTTAACACAAAGTTGATTTGATTGTGAACTTCCGAAAACATTGGGTTAAAATCACATATTTCGAATTGTAAAACAAGTTTAAAAGCTGAACTATCTACTCTAAGATAATCTACTACACTTGTATCTTTACATGTCGTTCTTCCTATGTGTTTATCTTTACATATTCGACCATTTGCAATAAAAAAAGATGATCTGTTACATACTTCAATTAGCAGATTCCCATATCTATTTTGTCGGGCTTTATCCTGACTATATCTTTACACATGTAAGACCGATATCAAGTATACATACTAACGATCGTTTATGTAATAAGAATGCAATGTCAAAACATAAAGTATAATACAAAATATCAAAAATAAGACCTCCATAATGTAACCTACCAAGCCTACAATAGCTCATTAAACCGTTTGACTTATCTATTGTTATAGACACGATCACACCGGTGATTAGCTTAATCAGTGATCAGCACAGAATTTAGTTTTTTTAGTAACTTTAAAACACAACTATTGAATTAGTTACAACATTCCATATACCAAATATTTAGTAGAGTAAATTTACATGTAAAATTGTGAGATTTTACCTTGAATATTGACGAAATTATTAAAGGTTGAAAATGTCGTTAAACAGTTATTAAGTTTACCACTTTTGTAAACAACTGGACCCTGATCATCATCATCATCATCATCATGCAAACTCGCAATCACAGTAGCACTCACATAGACATAAACATGAATTAAATCTTCATTTCCTACACGATTAAAAATATTCAGAGATCACAAAATTTGTAAAAATAAATGTGTACCTTACAATTTCATTACCTTCCAAATAACAATAAACTTATTTACAACACAATGCTAGAGAATAATGCAGTAATTATATATAAGTGACTCGATACTTCTTATTCCGAAACATTGTCGTTTTTTGGTTTTCTTTTTAGAATGAAAGGAATTCTATATAATGCTATTGTAGTGAATAATGATGTTATTGTGCAATACGTGTTTTGTATATGTGTCTTAAATACTGTTATATGTTGTATTTAATCTAAGGAAGGTAAAAACAAAACAAAAAATCGTCCAAAATGTGTAGGGTCAGCAATGGGTAGTTAGCCCTCGGACCTTTTTTGTATTTTTAATTTCTCAAATTTCGAACTTCAAAAACTCTTAAAAAAGAATAATAACAAGACAATTTTTATACAAAATACGAAGATAACGACTTCAAAACATTTTTCATAATAGTTTCAATGGAAATGTATTTATATTGTATTACTTCACGATACTCTTTACCGTCATGGCTGTAGCGTGGCTCCCCTGAACTAATATATATATATATACACGATGCTGTTTACGTGTAACAGTTGGGAGTTTAACAACAGGTATAGCGTAGCGTATAAAGTATACTTAACAAAATAATCAGTCAAGCAAGACTGTTTCTATATATACATCGCACCCAGGTGAGGCGTGTTTATTTGAAGAATTTTAACTTCCTGGTGGATATTGAAAATGGCGGTGTTTCAGGAGCTCCTAGTTTTGGCTTCTTTGATTGTGGGTAAGCATACATGGCTACTTTTAAGAATTAGGTGTCGTGTCTGGTAAATGTTTCAGCAACAACGAAATGATAGCGACAATGAAGACATACTCTGTTCTCTCTCTCGTGACGGTGTTGTGTAACGTGTATTTCACAACACCGAGTCGCACCTTTTGATTGTTTAAACTTGGATATTTGACTTATAGAGTCAATCTCCTGTTAAAAACTAAGATCATTACACTTTCTGGATAAACTTTATTTCTATTTCATGAAAAGGAGTAATACAAAAGTTTAAACACGTACATGAAATATTGACCAGCTTGGCTTTAAATCAATTTTGTGTAAATACTTCCTGCGTTTAGACGTATTATCTCTCTCCTTCGTATGAGGTTGCATTGTTACTAGTAAATCCAGCCACCATTTACCGGGTTGTCCCACCAACCAGCCAGTACGTAGTTTACAGGGGAACAGAATGGCCCTTCAGTTTTGTCCCAGTATAACCAGCCAACAACAACCTGTGGTTGGATTACATATTGTGTTATTTAACCCCGAAATATATTCATTTTAAAGGAAATTGGATAATCCCTGTGAGTCAAATCATTTACTTCTGCAAACATGCCTAGACATTTTATCTACAATTAAAATGGCCACCATCTGATTAAATCAGGGTATATACGTGAACATTTGAAATACCCGTCACGGTTGACCGACGTTTAAACGGACACGAAATATTCGGCGCAGTGTGTACGGATTTACTGCGTTTAAAATATATCCACACGAAGTGACATTAAATATTATTGTGGTAAAAGCCTATAGCTGATACTTATAACTTGACTCATAACATGGATGGGGAAGCTATATAGATCTATCTATCTTTGAGTACAGTACTGCAGCGCCCTCTCTCGAGTACTCTGTGCAGCGTGCGCGACAGTGCAGGTTGTTAAATGGGCTGGAAGTACATGTACATGTAACATTAGACATTTCTAATTTTGGGGTAGACATTTCAAAAATAATTGTATATGGAACGAAGCGTATAGGGTATGTCAGAGTGTGTACACACGCATGCTAGTGACTACAGATAAACGAACAGGTAACATCATATGATCATGATACACAGATAAGAAATTATGTCACCGGTAACCACATGGTCGTTATAGTCTTTGTTCGTGGCTCAATGCGGCAGGTATGTAACCGTTGTAATTGATATTTCAATATCTCCGTTAAGGACGTCTGTTGTATTTTTCTGACGCCGATTGAGTTAAAGAAATTCCCCGAGCCAAAATAACCAGAGTGACAGGGATCACAAATACATTTGTGGATTAAATCTACCATCCACAAACTTCTTAGGACACGATATTTCAATATTACGAAATAAATGTTTAACGCTTACACGGTGTCTTTTTATAATTGCGTTAGGCTGAAGGTACTTTTTCCACACATTTTCGTCGCTTCATTCCTTTGCATTTTGGTTTAGAGGTGGTTGGACAAATATACGTTTATTAGCATCCCTTTGTGGCAAGTAACGTTTATCA